CTGACTATTCTGGCCATGTACAACGCAAACAGGGTAGGGGCCAGGACACAGCCTTGTCGGAGACTAGCGCGAACGTTAAATGTTTTCGACTTAACGCCATTTACTCTGACGCAGCACCTGCTCTCAAAATATAGTGATTGGATGGCCCTTAGTAGCTGGCCATATATCCTGTATGGTTGAGGGCATGACCACAGACTGTTGCGTGGGATCCGGTCATAGGCTTTTTCTAGGTCAACAAGACGTGTACACCGGACGGGTGTACTCGCACGATTTCTGAACAATCTGGAGCAGGGCAAATATATGGCCAGAGGTGCTTCGACCGGGCCGGAAGCCACATTGCTCTTCTTGTATCTCGAGGTCAGTTATTTCGGGGCACTTCCTTTCTAGCGCTTTTGTGCAGACTTTATCTAGGAGGATCGTAATGCCCCTATAATTCGAGCATTCCTTGTGGTATCTCATCTTGAATACGGGTAAAACAGCTCCCGTTCTTCAGTCTGCTGGTGTCTCTCCCGTAGTCATCGCAGTTTGACAGACACGTGTAAGCCAGCACATGCTTTCGACATCTCAGGGTGGATTTCATCAATTCCAGTAGCCTTTTTATTTTTCAAGCTTTTCACAGCTTGTGTAATTTCATCTACAGAGACAGTAATATCCGTACCCTTCTGCTCTACAGGCGAGTCTTCAAACGACTGCGCGGGGCTAAGGAGTTCCTCAGAATATTCCCTCCATCGCCGAAGAATTTGATCATCAGAGGTTGTTCAGCCCTGTCCTTCAAGAATCGGAGACTGCCCTTCTTTTCATCTCGGAGCCGGCAGATGATCTGCCAGAATACTTTGTTTGCCGTATGGAAATTCGACTCAATCGCCTTAGCGATCTTCTCACAGGAATCAGCTTTGGCTTTGGCCATTGCTTTTGCCGCCGCCGTGCGTGCCTCGACATATCGCAAGCGAGTATAAAGTTCTGTGTTTCCAAGCCATTTCTTGAACGCTGTTTTCTTCTCTTTAGCTGCCAGTTGTACCTCTCGCGTCCACCAGGAAGATGTTTTCTGTCCTCTAGGCGGCAGGCCAATCTAAATCTGCAGCGTTCGGCGGCAAACTGGAGTATTCCGCACTTTAGGAGCTGCCACTCGGTTTCCACATCAGTTGTCATCACAGGCATCTGTTCAAACCGTCGTGCGATGTTGTTTGCAAATTGTGCTCTCGTGTGTTCCGAAGATGTTTCCCATTTGATTCTTTGATTGCTTCTACCACCAGATCTTCTTATGGTACTCCGTTTCTTACAGCGCAGCGTGCCAACAACAAGGTGATGATAGATTGATCACTCTTCGCCTCTCTTAACACGAGCATCCAGTACTGAACGTCTTAAGTCAGATGATACGATTATCAAGTCGATCATCGACTTTTGTTCACAAGGTTCCCGGTACCAGGTATACTGATGCTCTCTTCGATGCTCGAAGAAAGTGCTCATAATGGGCAATCCGTTGTTTGGAGAGAACTGCAACAACTTCATGCCGTTATTGTTGAGGTCGCTATGGCCGCTTTTTCCAATCTCGTTTCACCGTCCGCTGCGACATGCGCATTAAGGTCGCCCATGAGTATGAGGGATTCTGTATTCGGCACTTCGCACAGAGCACACTTCATTTCTTCAAGGAAGGTATCGTACTCTCCCTCCAAATAGGGTGCATAGAGCTGTAACAAGGTCAACGCTTTAGCCTGTTTTAGCTTCATTCGGAGGATTGCCACCCTTCTGCTGACAGGCTTCCAACCAGTGATTCTTTCAGCGAGGCTGGGTTTTACCAGAACACCGACACCTGCCTGAGCGCGCGACGTGATATCGACACCTTAGTAGAATAGCTTCCATCCTTTGATATTCAGGAGTACAGAGGGTTGGCGCTTCGTTGACGAGAGTCCAACAGTGTCGAGTTTTTACTTTGTGGTCTAATCAACTAACTCTTGTTTTTACTTCTTTCTGGTGTTATCATTCTCGTGGACCCTTTTCTGACTTGTCGTAGGGGCATCGCGATATCTGCCTCCTCTGTTCAGAACGGGTTGCGACTCCGTTGCTGACTGGTATCCTCATCGTCGCTCCGTCGGTCTTCGTCAGCCGTTGTGCTTTTACACCCTCGGCTAGCAGAGAGCGATGAGCAGGTTCTGATCGCCGACTTTTTGCAGCCTGCCTCAGTCCTCCAACAGCCTGCGCGGCCCCTGGTAACCCGATCGTCGACCGAGCTGGTATGATTTTCGATTGCGTCAATATCGTGAGCGGCAGGTGGTTAAATTTTATGGAAACTTTGCCACGGTTTGCAACCCTCATCATTTCTGAATGTGGCATGCTACCGGCAGCAGCGTTGTTTGGCCCTCGTTTCCGCATAGGATAATGTTTTCCATTTGTTTCTCTGATTCATTCTCTCGCCAGTTCTTCACGTGGTAATCTTTCGTTTCCAGCGGGAGCTGCCTACAACATGGTGATGATCCGTTCACCTCTCTGCTCTTCTCGAAATACGAGAGAGCATCATGAGTCAGTTCCATGGAGAGTGTCGTGAGTCAGTTGATACGATTATCAAATCGGTATTCTAACTTTTGTGCAGAAGCTTCCCTGTAATGAGTGTAATGATGGGCGTTTAAATGTTGAAGAAGTTCATTGCAGGTAGTCCGTTTTTTCACTAAAATGCAGCAACTCCATTTTGCCATTGTTAAGACCGCCTACAAGTTGTTCCCAATCACTCCTATCTTCTATTTAGCTTCGGCATATCCATAGAACTCGTTCATGAGTATGATGGATTCCGTAGTTGGCACATCGTGCACAGCACCTTCAACTTCGTTCTTGAAGGGCGCATATTTTCCCTCCCATTTTGGCACACCGACTTGTAACAAGATAAGATCTTTCGCCTATTGCAACTTAAGTTGAAGAATTGCTGCTCTTCTGCTGACAGGCTTCATTCAGTCACTGTCAGCGCGGTTGGGCTATACCACAGCAACATCGGCTTGGGCCGGGAAAGGCGACACGTCAGTGGAAATATATCCAGTGCATGTTCAGAATTTTAAGGACCTGGCGTTTCATGGACAAAAACCTTGCTATGTCCGCTTCATACCTTGCAACTTTATCAGCCAGTCAGCTCTTTTCCTTTGAGCGTAATGCTTCAGTTTCCGTGAGCTGATAAGATTGGTACCGTTTCCGTAGAACATTATTTGAGGTGCCATAATTACATCGTACTATCTGCCTCCTCCATTCAGAATGAATGGCTTCTGACCGGTTTGTTCATTTTCGCATAGAATTTCACTATGCTGCTACGCCCTAACCTGCTGGAAGGCCTGAGACGGATTCTGAAGAGCCGACTTTTTGCAGTTTGCCTCAAGTCTAGAATGACCATTGTAACTTTCAGATCACTGCAACCTGGTCAGTTCCGAGCGACGTAACTTTTGATATTGTCAGTACCAGGAGGGTTAGGTGCTTTTATGCTTTGCCGGATGCTTCGCCGCCGTTCCGAACCTGCTTATTTGTCATTTGGGAGTGAGCCCGGCAATGGCGGAATCCTGTGCTAGCGGTATTTTGTGATGAATATTATAACAAATTATGAGACGTACAGTCTTTGTCTGCAAATCTTGTTTTTTAAAGTCGCTTGAAGCACGCACTTGTTTTAGTGTCTGTTCTCAAGAAAACTTCGAAGGATCTTGCAGCAACCTAAACCAGCTGTTGAACGAAAATCAGAAGGTTTTTACATTTTTGACTAGCACCGAAGGATGCAAAAACCTAAGGTGTGGAAGTTATTTATATTTTGCTGCCCAGTCTTCTTGTTTACCGTCGGCCTTTTTAGACCTCATTCGGAGTACAAGCTTTTTCTTGTCACTTATCTTCATGTGTTCCAGATATTCTACCGCGACGAAGAAACATAGTAAGTTAATAACTGATGCATTTTTAGTTTATGTTATCTGTCGATATGAGCTTTTCTAACTTTTCCATGCCGACTCCATTACCTGCATTATCATGCTTTTTGATTTCGGCGATTTCCGAGATTTTTGATCATATAATTTTCATTTGCATTCGTTACTGACATATTTTTGCCCCTTCTTGACATTTGATTTTTTACGAGTTTTCAAGTTGCTTTATCTGTGGCCCAAGACTAGTAAACATGCTTAACTTGGTAAGCATCCCCGAAAATTTTTTCCCCTTGGAACTCAATGGCGAGGTTTGTTTTTTGCGAATTCCAAGTTCTTAATTAGGACAGCTTAGGCTGTCATAGTAACTGTTCGCTTTTTCATTAACTAAAATAACACTGTATTCTAAAGATAACCCTGGAGTTTGTAAGCGGATTGGTGAAAAGCTTATTTCAGAATTTATCATCTTGTCCTAATAGGTGGATGCAAAAACTCACAAATGTAAGTGACGATTACAAATGAGCCATAGTTGTTTATTTACAGATTCATCACTTGTAGATCATCTTTTGATCGTTTAGGTCACAGTTCTCTATATGATGCGGTACTTTCAGAGTACCGATCGACTTCTTTTGGTCTGTATAATTTATGCCGTTGCTTTTAGCGATCAGGGTACCAGTCTTCAAGACATCTGTCAGAGGACCATTGGGCTATTCGAGGTTTGCTTACGACAGTCACTCCTGAACAATTGGGCGATGGCACGTAAAATGCGCAGCGAGCAGTTTGACGCTGTTTTGCTGTTGAAGATAATCGTGATGCAAATGTTGGTCATCAAAAAGCTTGCTGATAGCGGTATGCGTGAAGATTTGGTTGTTTTTTGCTGTTTTGTGGTACGAAGTTGCGCAC